AGCCCGAGACTTTAAAAATGGGAGCATGAGGCATTAAATCATAAAGGCAGTAAGGCATCCTTTGTAAAGACACTCGATGAAATCAGGAATTTGTGACTTTCTTAACTTTGTAAAATGTTGAGTCTGACTGCGAGTGCACATAGCTGTTAGAAATAGAGAGACTGCCAGATCTGGGAAATGTGAGACCCATTGTTTGCCACCCGTACCAAATGTTTTGCGTTCCACCACTGTATTGTGCGGAAGATATCTGTACCTTTGTTTGGATTTACCCTCTCTTTCATCCCTCCCCCCAGAGCACCATCCAGATTATACTTTATACTGTTGTTTGACCAAAACTCTCTGATCAGATGGTTGGGAACCTCTGGCTGAAGTAATGATGCCCATATTAGGTAACAATCTGTACATAACTAAATTCCATTCTAGTACTGCATTGTCACTGGTGAAGTCTAGTCTTTAACCATACTTAAGGTTTCTAATAAGTAATACATGCATTATGATGTATATACATTACGAACATGGAGTAATGAGGCTCTTTGTAGGAAGCTAATGACATAAAACATAGTAGACTATTTGAATCAAAGTTCCAAGTGATGATACTTTGCTGGTTATGATTGATGCAAGAGTGCAAACTTAATTTAAGACTGAATTTCCAAATGATGGGCCGTCCTTTCAGTCACCATTGGTGAAAATAATAAAGCAGGAACATTTTCTCTAGTAAGGGGTGTTGCTTCCATTTTGGTGTGCAAAGGAAGCCCCCCCCTCCCTTGTACGTGTTGCATAAGCTGTCATGATGGCTGTAATCTTTGATCTAATATTTCTGTAACAAAAATAATCAAACTACAGGGATTATTAAACAGTGCCACAATGATAACCCTGATCCGGCAGATTGATGGGTTGATTTGCTCCAGTACTGGATTTTGTGCTGCCATCATGTAAACAAATACAGAGCGGTAAGAGGGAAGCAGGGTGCACTCATGCTAAAACAAAAGACACACCAGTGTCACATAAATACCCCGCAAGGGTTATTAAATCTGAGTGAAATATTTTTGCAGGAGGACAGGTGATCTTGCACAATTAGTCTTCTGAACCATCCCTGGTCAGTGAGAGACAAAAGATCAGGACAGTGTCCCAGAGTATCTTTCCTAAATGCATTCTGTGAGTCTTTCGTCGGGAGGTATATTTCTTATTCTAGACAGACAATGACTTCAATATTCTATTCCACTCAGAAAAAGACAAAACAACGTGCAAAACAGGAACGCATATCTCCCACCATCTGTACTTTCGGAGGGTATTGTGACAGGTTCTGTTACGCTGGAAATTCCACACTTCCATAACTTACTAGAAACGTTTAGCGCAAGATGTCACAGGTGACATTTGACATGTTCTAGCTTGCTAACACCTCAATTCCACAGTGATATTATGGTCAGGAATGTCACACATGTACACAGACTGGAAGAAGATTATTTTATCAGTCTCATCACATACAAAACAATGGAATTTTTTGTAAAGAAAAATAAACAGCTTTAAAGAGCACAGAATGATAAGTGGTTTTTAGAACACCACCACAAGCACACTGGATATCAGTTTCAAAGTTTATTTGGTCAGTGATAGTAACATGATATTCGTCAAGTTACATCCAGAATATCTTCCTCTTCAAAACACAAAGCCATCTAAAAGTAACAATCTGGCTAGGAAGGAAGATTCTTCTAAGATCTTTGCAAGTTTATACACAAACGTTCTTACAACTTAAGACTGTTTGCACTAGAATGCTTCCACTGGAAACTGTCTCCAAAGTAAACCAACTATGAGGGTCTCAGGGTGGTTTAAAAGTTGATAACACCAAGCCATCACATTCAAAACCTACTTCTAAGTGCTAGAAGATCCTCACCAATTCCAAAATCAATGGCAAGCATCAATAACACCAGATACCCCCACCCATCCCCCCTTGAGATCCTGATAAGTTAGGGTACCTATAAAAAGGAAAGCAGTGGTTTTCAAAATAAATTTGCACAAAACTAAGACAAAAACAAACGTTCTTAATATCCATCCCCTTCACAATGCAATGCAATGCAAAATATTACCTGTAAACACACAGAGTAACCAAAAAACATCATACATGTACAGAGAGAAGGTTCTAGAGCATGCCAAAATTTTTTACACCTGCAAAGTTTCAGCACGCTAACTTCAGAGACTCTTTGTATGGTCAGCCATTTGCTTTGACCACCTACAGCTGTTTCAGTCTTAACTTTACTCTTAACCCTCAACTGTTGGCAGTGCAAAGTACATATCAGGCACATGGTCAGCATTTAATAACAAGGTGTACCTAAGTTCACCTGTAGTCTCTGATAAAAAAAATATATATGCTAAAAATACTTGCTGAAATTCAAGTTAGGAAAAATGCTTGAGCAATTATCTGCTCTTCTTATGTCACTCATTTGACACAATCAAGAGTTTTGACCATGCTGAAACTTTGCAGTCTCAGAAGAAGATATAGGGCTAAAGTTAAGGCTAAACTTCCAAAAAATACTATCGATCCAAAAGGACTAGAAAACAAGAGACCATAAACCTTGGGGATTAACTCAGTAATTCGCACAGGAAAGACATTCTCAAAATTTCCATGCTATTTGTAACATGTTAAAAGTGAAGACTTCTATCATTTTAAAGCTTGCCAGGGATATTTTTTATTTTAAAAAAAATAATAAAAAAGGAAAATGAAGACAATGTGCTTCACAGAAAACTGTACTTAAAGAAATCTCTCAATTTGGCATTCCTTAAAATGATACAAATTTCTCCAACACACAATAAACTTTCTAAATGTATTATCCATAGATAACATTTTTCTATAAATTAGGCTGTAACAGAATATAATGCCTCCAATACTTTTGATGTGTTAAATTAACACCATTTTTGTTGAAAATTTACATGAAATAAATTACAAAACAAATATCCAGTGACACATCAATCTTAGCTCAAATAATTATACAATCTTTTCAGTGGAGAACCTCCCTCTTTAGTTACAAATAAAACTTACAAATCTCGTCACATGGGAACCTCTCTGTAAGAAACTAATAGCAATGCTCCTTTGTAAGGGAGTGTATTAAATTTAACACGACTCACTCGTGAGCAGTGTTANCCTCTCTGTAATAAACTAATAGCAATGCTCCTTTGTAAGGGAGTGTATTAAATTTAACACGACTCACTCGTGAGCAGTGTTATAATGTGACTGTTACTTTTTAAGGTAAGACAAAATAGCCAAGATAGGCACTTGTACAAAAAAAAATTATTTTCAGTTTTCCTCAGCTTCAACTGAATGTCAGATAATTCTCCTAACAGACCACTTGAAGTGAGCTTCAATAAAATATGCACAAATTTAACTTGTAAACAACGTCCTTCATCTTGCGAAGTACAAAACGGGGCAAAAGAGCCCAAAACCATTCGTCAGCTTGATGTTTCCAACACTATACTGCAAACACCATTTTGGGCATTGTAGTCTAAAGAGATGATGAAGTCGTCCTCATCAACAAAACTTTCCACAGCTTTATCATCAATTTCTGAGGAGGTCCTACAAGACAACAACCACAGAGCAAAAAACTTAGAATGATGGCATCTAAAATAAATTATCACTGCAGAAGAAATACATCAGTAAAATACATGGACCTTAAATTAAAACAAACAGGTACCTCAAACAAAATGCATCAAGGTTGGGTGTCATAATGTTGTACAAATAGTCAAACTGTTGGTTTGGTTTTACTTCATTTCTGTCAGCCAAAAACAAGTTGCAAAGTATTAACAAGCTCTTTAAAGCAGGCAACAAAACCTGGCATTACACCACACATTTTCACTAGTTACAATTGTTGCAAACAAAGATATCATTCACCATAGAACCTCATTATGACAACAACCTTTTATGCACTAAGGTACGCCATGGTATGCAAATACAAGGGGCAGGAACTTGTAAGCAAATAAACCCATCTGCAATAATGTGGCAAGGCAGCTTGGTAAAATATACAGTAAACAAATACAGTGCATACTTGCTACTGGCCACATGACCCTTGTATATACATACAACATGAGCAAAACCCACACTAGACACAACAAAAAGACAGTCGAATTCCCAACAGTTACACACAACACACTCCATACACAGGTGTTACAGTACCACAAATCCTGACACAGATGTTGCTACAATGAGTGAAATGTAAACCAGCCATGAAATACGTAAATGTCATTTGTTGTAGTACAGCTGCCAAATAGATGTTGTTATAACTGTTCAAAGTGTCAAAAAGAAATCAGCGCAGTCAGCTTGTGCTACACAGTCATTTCAGTTCTTGTAACAGCATCTGACTCAAGGAAGTTAACAACTGTCAAACTATATACTTGCATCACATCACAATTTGATATAGATGAAATGCACATCATTAATATGGAGTCAAACATTGTATTTTTTTTTAAGCACTCAATTACCAAGCCAACAAAAAAGGCAAAAAGTCACACAAAACAGACACATGTTTCACCCACATGTACATTTTGGATTCTTGAATAATGGAACATCCTGTAAGATTGTTAGATTTGCTTGGCTCAAGTTACTCAAAATAAATAAAATGTTTACCCTTCTTACGTAATAGGTGAAAGAAATTGCAGAAGATTCTTTTGAGCAATTCATGACCACCAATTGGAAGAAAATCTCACTGTCTATGATTCACTCCAACAAAAATTATCTTCTTTATTTCTAAAAGTGTTATGCTACCCTGCAACTTCGAAGGTGTGCAAAACTCCATCCCTTGACGTCCATGAGGCCCTACGAACCGTGTCAACTCAGAGGCTGCAAGATTCAAATAACAAACCAACGTACAAAACCTATTTAAATCACCATGTGTGTTGAAATAATTCTAACTTCCAAGAAAGTGACAAAAACTTGGACTCTGCCTTTTTTCTGTGACTAATAGAGGACAATGCTTGACAAAACAATAGCCAATTAAGAAAGAAACGTTTCTAAGCAAAAAGTGCAGTAGATGTTTAAAGGCCAAGATTACTCTTATCAAACTGTTTTCTATACATGTAAGAATACTGTAAATGACGTTTCTAATGCTTGTTGGCAGTCAAAAACTGACCAGCACAAGAAAGAAAAAACATTAACCAACCTTCACATATTGATTAAAGTCACTTCGTAATGGTTGGGGCCACATTTGAGAAAATTTCTACATCATGACCCATGTCTCTGGATTTGCCATCACACTTTCAGTTAATAGAATGATCTTTCTAACATTTTATTTTGGCAACTCACAGTCCACTTATTTTGTTGTTGTTTTCATTTTAAAGCATGGGGTGTAAAAAATTATGTCATGGCTTGCAACTTTGGTTAGGATGAATTTTAAAATTCTTGACTGCCAATGAAGAAAAACACTCAGATAAAAACTTAGATCTGTAGCAACCTTCAGGTGTACATTAGCAGAACATAGGCCATAATTTTTTTTTTTTAATTTCTCAGAAATGCAGGTAATTGACTAAAATAGGCTCTAATTAGCAAATCTGTTCACAAAAATATTTTTAACTCTTATGTGTTTTTCCTGCAAAAAAAAATGATTACTCATAATCTGTTGCACTGCCTAAACCTAACCCTTGGGGATTAAGATGTTGAATAAAATAGACGCTAATTAACAAATCTCTTCACAAAAATGTTTTTTAACTCTTACTGGTTTTTCCTGCAGAAAAAAAAAAGATCACCTTTAATCCTCTGCATTGCCTTCCATGTCGGGGGAAAAGCAGGGCAACTCAACCGGTTAAAACTGGTTTCAAGACTTCCTGAACAAGAACAAGGCCTGGTTACCTTAGCAAGTGCCACATGAACACCAAATAGCACGAAATGGCTGAGAAAGGGCAGAGAGAATTTGTACGTTTCTTCAATGAATTTTTGGCAGCTCCTGACACTAGAACCACACTAATGCCACTACACTGACATATGACTTGGGGATCAAAATTTTCTATCGTATTTCCACGGGAATGTAACATGCAAAGTCAAGTTTTTGGCTGAACTTTAGTGATGAAATGAGCATTGGATGTTGAGTAATGGCACTAACTGAGGGTCCAAGATGCGAGTTTCAAAGAAATTTGTATGCTGGTGATGCCATTATTTTGCTCCACAAAGATGGCTGCCATTTCACTTGC